AAGTTCCTGCCCCAAACTTTTTCTCCTTTTTTTTTTTCCTGGCAGTACCGACAACCCTGCCACTGGTGTCCATCCTTCCTGGGAACATCTGTGCATTTTTGCCATTACTTACATACTGATAAGTGGTACCTATGATTGTGTTGTCTTGAAAACTTTGTAGTGTTATCCTATTGTGGGTATTCAGATTATGATTTTAATGAGATACAATTTATATACTGTAAAATTCACCCTTCCATGGGTACACTTCAGGGACTTCTTTGGCACATTCATAAAGTCATGCAACCATCTCTACTTGATAATTCCAGAACATTTTCATCCCCCCAAGAAATGTGTGCCCATTAGTCATCCCTGCCATTTAGTCTCTTAGTCACCAGCAGCATCTTATCTGTCTCTGTGGATTTGCCTGTCCAAGACACTTCGTGGAAATGTAATTACACAATATGTGATCTTTTGTGTCTGGCTTCTCTCACTCACCACAGTTTTTCAAGATCTATCCATGTGTTAGCATGGATCAGCCCTTCATTCCTTTTTACGGCCAAAGAAAATTGCATTGCATGGATGTGCTACATGTTGTTTGTCCGTTCATCAGTTGATGGACATGACATTGTTCCTACTCTTTGCTATCAGCATTCATGCACCAGGGTTGTGGGGATGTGTGTTTTTATTTGTCGTGGGTGTGTATACCTAGGAGTGGAATTGCTGAGTCTCACTTTTGGGAGAACCGTCAGACTATTTACCAAAGCAGCCATATGATTTTAAATTCCTCTTGCAGTGCAAGAGGGTTCTGACTTCTCTACATTTTCCACACTTTTATGATCTTTAATGCTTATACATTCTGATTACAGCCATTACAGAGAGGAAAGTGGCATCTCATGACTATGTTTTCTATGCAACTGATGAGTCACTAAACTGTACATCTGAAACTAATAATACGTCAATATGTTGATTGATTTTCATAGAATTTGAAAAAAATAAAGAAAAGAAAGTGGTATCTCATTGTGGTTCTGACTTAGGTTTCCCCAATGACTAAGGATGTTGGGTATCTTTTTATGTGCTTATTGGTCATCTGTACATTTTTGGAGAGATGTCCACTGAGATCATTTGCCTGTTTTAAACAAGGTTGTCTTTTTATTGCTGAGTTCTAAGAGTTCCTTTTATATTTTGGACAATCTCTTACCAAATATATGATTTGCCAACATTTTCACTCATCCTGTGGGCTTTGTACTTTCCTGACATGTCCTTTGCAGTAAAAAAGTTTTTCAGTTTGAAGAAGCCTGTTGACCCACTTGTTTGTTTTGGTGCTTATATCCTAGCTAAGAAACTGTCGCCTGGGGTTCCTGGGTGGCTCAGTCAGTTAAGCGTTGGACTCTTGATTTTGGCTCAGGTCATGATCCCTGAGTCATGAGATCAAGCCCTGCATCAGGCTCCCTGCTCAGCACGGGGCCTGCTTAAGATTCTTTCTCTTCTTCTACCCCTGCTTTTGTTCTCTTTCAAATAAATAAACCTTAAAAAAAAATTATTGCCTAACCTAAAGTGACTAAAGTGACCTAAAGAATTGTGCCTGTTTTGTACTAAAGGCTTCATAGTGTTAACTTTCAAATTTAGGTTTTTGATTCACCATGAGTTATGTTTTGTATATGATATAAGGTTCCACTTCATTTTTTTGCAAGTGGGTGTCCAATAGCACCACCACCATTTGTGGAAAAGATGACACTCTCTCCCACCTTGAACCTTCTTAGTAGCCCTCTTGAAAGATCATGCTTTAAAGATTTACCTGTGTTGATTCAGCAGCTCTAATTTATTCATTTTACTACTTTATAGTATTCCAGGAAATGAATATATTTTCATGGCCTCTTTCTCCTGCTGGTAGAGATTTAGGTTGTTTTAATTCACATTTTTTTCTTTCTCTTTTCATTTCTCTCTCTCTTCCCCTATCTCTGTGCACATTCTAAATTTTTTTTAAATTTTTATTTATTTATGATAGGCACACAGTGAGAGAGAGAGAGGCAGAGACACAGGCAGAGGGAGAAGCAGGCTCCATGCACCGGGAGCCCGACGTGGGATTCGATCCCGGGTCTCCAGGATCGCACCCTGGGCCAAAGGCAGGCGCTAAACCGCTGCGCCACCCAGGGATCCCTCTGTGCACATTCTAGTTAACTGTCTCTTTACCTTGTTACAAAGGCTACCCCTGCAAGTAGAATTTCTGGCACCCAGAGGAGCCTGACACACAAAACCACGCTACAGCAGAGACTCAGGTTAGCTGCACTTCTAATGAGCCTGAGTATGAAAAACAAGCAACACAGAATATACATGCAATAGAAAGTTATAGAAATTTATAGAAATTTGCAAAGTAAATGATAGATAATTATAAAATAAATGATGTTCTTACTTAAGCATTAACACTAGGGGAAAAAAATGCACAGCTAGATTTATCAGTAACTTTTCCCAGATGAGCTTTTCTTTCTTGCCAGAAGGTGGCAGAGAGGATGCAGCTTAAACTCTTCTTCCTCCATTTTTAAAGGGGGAAAAAAAATCTTTTTAAAAAGGAAGGCAAATAACTTGTGCAACTTAAAACTTCTAACTTTTAAACATACAGATTTGCAGGCTCTAATATTTAATACAGTTACTGAAATATCGCCTAAGAGTGACTGGAGACAATCACTTTGGATATCTGTATACCTGAATTAAATAAAGCATATTTGGCCATAACAACAACAACAAAAAAAAAACCTATAAATCTGTCTAAAAGGTATGAATAGATGAGCTCACTATAATTACTGGAAAATATTTTAAGGTTAACTGAGAAGAGAAAAATTAATACATGCCACTGATTCACGGAAATAGTATCAATTTGCAATATGAAAATATAATTTTGAGAAGCAGCATTCAAGTTTGTAAATGCTCTACTGCCCTCACCTATAAATGAGGGACTGGATTCCATGAAACCCAAAGTCCCTCCTTCCACTAACATGGTGCCTTTCCCATTGTAGAGACGAGGGTAGGAAGGTCATATATGAGGCAGGGACAGAACTGTCTGTAAAACCCAAGTTTTCTGACCCTTCACCAGCTTCCCCATCTGTCTTTAAAAAGACGGATCTCCATAAAAAGCTGTTCCTATGGCTTCTGCCCATAAGAAAACACAGTAAGTTCACTATAGGTTTATTTAAAATGGCACATAACTCAAAGTGAGACAGGTTTATTTTGAGAAGAAAGGTCCTAATGACTCCCCAGGGTCCAGCCCATAGGGGATGGCTGCCAGGAAAAGAAAAACCCAATGGGGCAGCTCCCAGTAGGAGAAAGGAGTGGGGGAGGAGGCGGAGGAGTGCTCCCAACACCAAGCTCCATCCAGACCCCAGGGGTGCAGAGGCGAGGGGCAGGAAGGAGGTAGAGAAAGGTCAGAAAGAGGCCCACATGCTGATGGGGCCTGGCCCAGTCAATAAAACCCAGACGAGTTTAATGTCTTTGCTGGAGGTTTCACTCACAAGAGCAGTTGCCACTGAATCCGGCCCCCGACTTATGACAGCGAGTAATACACCAGGATCCTTTCAAAGGCTTATCCCCTGAATGCCTGATTTTAAACTATTGTGGAAGTAAGAAATTTAGAAATAATGTTAAAAGTTGAGGTTTCTCTTAATAGAAGTCAGATCTATTTTGCAGAATCCTCTGCAGGTGTAGGGCTGGAGAAACTCTAGCCGTTTGTGGCTTGGCAACTGCAAAGTTCCGTTCTGCTTTTCTCCTCGGTGCGGCCAGAGAATGCGGCCCGTTCTGTAATGGTAGGTGCGCTCTGCCAGAAAACTCACATATTTGTGGGTGGAGTCAGTTGGGAGGCTGGAGGGATTTTGCAAGTCTGTGTAGGCCAAACACTGCAGGGACTTCCAAGGGGTGAAAAATAATACCTTGGGGGTTAGCAAATTTCCACTGCTTGATGAGCCAAAGATGCAGCTCTGGAAACATGGCAAAGGAACAGATCATCACAGGGAGGGAGTGCCTGGAAGGTAGGGGGATGTGTCCTAGGATCACTTCACTACATGCATGGTCACTATGTTACCAAGAACAGCAAAAGGACTCCCTGGGTCACCCTGGTTATCTGGGCCACGGTCTCCGTCAGATTCATCTGAAGTGGCTACAACTTACAGGGACCCTATCAGCTGGAATTGAGGGAGATACAGTCGCCCTGGCAATGAATGAATGTACAGTAAATCACGGGCATGCCCTCAGTCACCTTAAAATAGATCTTCATTGCAAAGAGTTCACAAATCTCACTGAGAAACTGATCAAAATTATTCACACAGCTCCCCTGACCCCATAAAATGTACATGTGTGCAGGATATAACATTTATCCTAGTTTGGGGATGCATGGGTCCAGGTTAAGACTTAAGAATCTGTGATTTAAAGAGAAAGAATGGCCTGACATCAGGGCAAGTTGGGACTGCAAGTGTTGTTTCTATTAAAGAAAGAAGGAGTCAGAAAGAAAGCTTATCTGCCATTGCAAACAATGCAGAATGAGTCACTGAGGCATAGACTGGCTATGCTTGCCTTAGGACTGTCCAGGATAGAGAGAGTGTAGGCCAGGAGACCCTAATATTCCCACCCCCAAACCTGGTTTTGCCTAGCTGGGGGACACATCTAACAATTTCCAGCAAATCCCCTCCCTGACACTCTGCTTACTCAGCAACTACAGGACTAGAAGTTGGCCTGTCATGTAGGTCTGCCCACAGAGACACAGTGTCCTGGGTTGGCCAATATGAGCGTGCTAGTGTGCAAGGCAGTCACAGTCCTCACTGGAAAGGGATAAATGGGGATTCTATTTTACACACTGGTCTCATATGAGTTGGTCTCACCCTTGAGAGACAGATCCACTGTCAGGTTGCTGGAAAATCAGATCTTTAAGCCAATCAGGCTGAGGTCTGAGATGCCAAACTGCCAGCTGACATCTCCTGGCAACAGTAGACTGGCCATGCCCCCCTCCACTCCCCCACACTGGAAATGCCCATACTTGCCTTTTACAGGACATTGGATTGTCACGTCTGCCTGCAGGGCTGCCTCTATGATGCCTCCAACCACAACGGACAGATGGCTGTGTTCCAGTCTGCTGATATTTCTTTCAATAGACAAGATGGCAGGTGCCTCTTAATTCAAAGGGAGCAGGAAACTGTGTTAGGTGCAGGCTTTTGCTCCGATTAAACCCTGCTGCATTTGGTAAACTTGGTTGTGCTCTGTAAGAGCAGGGGCAGAGTCTGGCTCTCTCTGTATCCCTCATGGTGCCCATTAGGATTTCCACATACACAGCCAGAGGGTGCCTAGTGCACAGATGGACAGGCAGACAGATGGACGGACACAGTCAAAGAGATACCCACAGGGCGCACAGCAACAACCATAGATGGGTTATGGGTTATTCTGGTTTTATGACCAGAATAGAGGATAAATCTCCCTTTGATAAATCAAAAAAGATGGAATTCAGCAGTTCATAAAAAGCCAAGGAGGCAGGGCAGGGCAGGGTCAATGTCTCTGCAGTGCCACCCTGCATGAACTGGCAGGATCCAACACACCAGGGCTTCGGACCAGCTGACTCTTTCTCTGGGAGGAAAACTTGGAACAAACTGACATAAAACTTGCATGGGGAAATAATAACAAGTCACCAAGAATCAAGAACCTAATCAAGGACTTTTATGTCCCTGGATTTTGAGAAACATGGACTTTAAGCAGATGCTTTCGTTAACTCACTCAGGAAATAAACTTTGTGCCTGAGCTGAACAGCAGGAGTGCAAAGTTGGAAAACAGCCACTCTTGGCCTCAAGCAACTCAGATTGGTGGGAGACTCCAAACCACACAGGCTGGTGGCTGCTAAGGCAGGAGAAGGTGCTGGTTGACCAGGGGTCTCTCAGGAGCATGTGAGGGCCAGGGAAGGTAACAACCCAGAAAGGGTGTTGACAGAGTATCCCTCTACAGAGGATGACCTCCATGATTGCATTCCCTACTCTACCATCAGCATGTGAGCCACTGTGGGGAGAGGCCTGTTTTGTCATCTATGCACGTGCGTGCAAAACGAGTGCATCTCAGTGGACTGTTTGGTATCCATGGATTCAGGAGCCAGAGGACATGCTGTACCAGCTCTCCCAGGAATCTGGATTGTCCTCGATGGGCCTAAGGGGAGACTTATGATCACCAAAGGGGACTGCCATTCTTCCTGGGAATTCCCAACCTCAGGGCTGATGCTCACAAGAGGGTCAGAGCACAGAAAATCAAGGCCTGGAGCAGTCCAGGTGGCTCAGCGATTTAGTGCCGCCTTCAGCCCAGGGTGTGATCCTGGGGACCTTGGATCAAGTTCCGTGTCGGGCTCCCTGCATGGAGCCTGCTTTTCTCTCTGCCTGTGTCTCTGCCTCTCTCTCTCTCTGTGTCTCTCATGAATAAATAAATAAAATCTTAAAAAAAAAAAAAAGTCAAGGCTTGAAGGCCCCACCTGGGGAATGCAGCTAGGGGCAAAGCTCAAGCCAGACAGGTTCAAGGAGCTTTTAAATTCAACTGGTCCAACCTTCTCAGTGTGTGGATACAAGGCACCTGCTACCAAGCTCAGAACTCAGTTGTCCGAATGCTGGATTCTAATCCCTGGTACTTCTCTCCTCCTCTTACTCCCTGTGAGCCACAGATACCAGAAACCACAAGGCAGATAGCTGGAGGAGGGAGCTTGTTTTATTTATAATCCCAGAACAGGAACTTACCACAAGGAAGCGTTGCTTACAACTTACCACCCAGAAGTGTTCCTTCGTAATTAAGCACATTTTAATATTAAAATGACACCATCTGCCTTCTGGGAAGACAGTAAATTTACATCACTTCTGAAAGTGTTCTGAAGGACTGGTGGGTGTGCCTCTGGAGGTATACAGCCCTTTTTAGAGGATAATTATTCACTTGCATTGGCTGGTGGCACTTAAAAAATGAGAAGTTCATACTATCAATGCTGCCAGTTAAACTCTGTCTCATTAACACCCAGTTCCAGAAGGCAAGCTCTAAAGTAGACATTTTTGAGATCTGGTCCACAGGCCAGCAGCATTGGTATGACTTGGGACCGTGTTAAAAATGTGAACTCTTGGATTCCATCCCAGATCTACTGAGTCAGAAGCTCCAGGAATGGGGTCTAGAAATCTGTGTTTAGACAACCCCCCTGCCCTCGAGTATTTCTGCTGTCCATGCTGACCTTTGGGAGCTGCTGCCCTAGAAAATCCCAAACCAAGCATCCCAGGTTTCAACAATGGGCATTACCTGCGTAGAGCACTGGAGAACTCTCCATATCTGAACCAAGATGGTTAGCCACAGAGCATCCATACGTTCCTTGCTCCTTCTTTGTAGGGTTCCGTATCTGCATTTTTCCCATTCCAGCCAAGACTATCCTGCAGAACAGTTAGAAACGGGTGCGTTCATGTAACGTACTTCACAGCTCTAGGCTCACAGCATGTCCCAGGGAAAGAAAACTGCAAAATTAATCTCTGAGCTGGCAAAGATCCTGCCCATAAGACTATAGAGTGGCAAGAGTCTTCCTCCTGGGTTTGAGCTCAGAGATGCAGTACCCAGACATGCTTGACAAGCCAGTCTTTCTGCCTCACTTTGCACCAGAAAAGACTTTTCTGGATGAACTCAATGCTTAATCTACCACATTTTCAGAAAGACAAACTAGCAAGTGTCACTTTGCAGGAAATTAACCTCTCCTTGTGTGCCCAAACCCTTCCTTGTGAACTGCAGGTGTGAGTTTTTTGGTTCAGATTTTCACACCGGAAGCAAGTGGGCTGTCTGGCGATGCAGCTTGGCTCAAGTTGTTACCTCAGTAGGACCGAATGGAGAAGTCAGAGGAGGCAGCAGTGCTAAGGCTGCCTTAGGACTGACCTGTATGAGTCCCATATGGCTTCCCAATTACAGATAGCCATAAACACCTGCAGGTAAATACTGTAAGAACCAGTATTGCTCAGGTATATCCTGACAGGTGAAGTAACTATTCAGGGATTAGAAAAGGGTGATTGTTCTTCTTTTCTTTTAATTTTTTCTTGATGATCTGAAGCTGCTTTTAGATCACCTGGGTCGGCATCCTTAAACTATTTTTTCCCTGCCACCTCCCACTTTCCAGATCTTAGCAAGATGAACTATTCTGACCACTAAATGCTGTATGTTTTTCTTCATGAATTCTAGAACTAGCAAGCTGGAGAAGAGTCAGTTCTCCATTTCCTGTCACTTCATGGTGCTCACCCTATGCTCCAGCCATAATGAACCGCTAACAGTTTCCAGAACATTCTATGATCTTTCATCACCCCGAGCATTTGCATATGTTGTTCACTGTATTTGGAATGCCCTTGCCCCCTCCCACCCCATTCTGGCAAACTCTGATTTACCCACTGAATCCTAGATCAAATATAATTTCCCCTGTAAAGCTTTCCCCAATACTCCTAGAGTTATCTTCCCTGCTCTGGGTTCCTTCTGCTCTGGTTCATATATTTATTTGATGAAATATCTATTTCTTCCCACCAGATTGTGATCTTTCAAAAGCAGGGACCAAATCTTATTCACAGCTGTGCATTTACAGTGCCTAACACAGTGACTTTGTATAGAAAGTTCTCAGAAACGTCTGATGACTAAATGTACAAGTGGTCAGAATATAACAGAAGAATAGCACATGGTTTGCATACTAGCAGGAGCTCCTGTGCAACACACATATGAAATACACAAAGGTGGGCAGATATACAACAGTGGAATTGCCCAGACCAAAAACGACAGCCCTATTTTCTTTTTGCAATCAAATGCATTTATTTTTTAGCTTAAGCAAGACAGATGAGAAACACAGAAAGAGGGAGAGAGAGAGAGGCAGAGACACAGGCAAAAGAGAAGCAAGCTCCATGCAGGGGACCCAACGTGGGACTCGATCCAGGGTCTGAAGGCTCAGGCCCTGGGCCAAAGGCAGCGCTAAACCGCTGAGCCACCCGGGCTGCCCATGACAGACCTGTTAATAGGGCCAGCTTTCACACTAACATCTAGCATCCCTATTAAGGAATAGTCGATTAAGAAGAATATAACGAGGGTCCAGAGAATCCAGAAGTGGACCCTCAACTTTATGGTCAACTAATATTCGATAAAGGAGGAAAGACGATCCACTGGAAGAAAGACAGTCTCTTCAATAAACGGTGCTGGGAAAATTGGACATCCACATGCAGAAGAATGAAACTAGACCACTCTCTTTCACCATACACAAAGATAAACTCAAATCGATGAAAGATCTAAATGTGAGACAAGATTCCATCAAAATCCTAGAGGAGAACACAGGCAACACCCTTTTTGAACTCGGCCACAGTAACTTCTTGCAAGATACATCCACGAAGGCAAAAGAAACAAAAGCAAAAATGAACTATTGGGACTTCATCAAGATAAGAAGCTTTTGCAAAGCAAAAGATACCATCAACAAAACTCAAAGACAACCTACAGAATGGGAGAAGATATTTGCAAATGACATATCAGATAAAGGGCTAGTTTCCAAGATCTATAAAGAACTTATTAAACTCAACACCAAAGAAACAAACAATCCAATCATGAAATGGGCAAAAGACATGAAGAGAAATCTCACAGAGGAAGACATAGACATGGCCAACACGCACATGAGAAAATGCTCTGCATCACTTGCCATCAGGGAAATACAAATCAAAACCACAATGAGATACCACCTCACACCAGTGAGAATGGGGAAAATTAACAAGGCAGGAAACCACAAATGTTGGAGAGGATGAGGAGAAAAGGGAACCCTCCTGCACTGTTGGTGGGAATGTGAACTGCTGCAGCAGCCACTCTGGAAAATTGTGTGGAGGTTCCTCAAAGAGTTAAAAATAGACCTGCCCTACGACCCAGCAATTGCACTGTTAGGGATTTACCCCAAAGATTCAGATGCAATGAAATGCCGGGACACCTGCACCCCGATGTTTCTAGCAGCCATGTCCACAATAGCCAAACTGTGGAAGGAGCCTCGGTGTCCATCGAAAGATGAATGGATAAAGAAGATGTGGTCTATGTATACAATGGAATATTCCTCAGCCATTAGAAACAACAAATACCCACCATTTGCTTCGACGTGGATGGAACTGGAGGGTATTATGCTGAGTGAAGTAAGTCAATCGGAGAAGGACAAACAGTGTATGTTCTCATTCATTTGGGGAATATAAATAATAGTGAAAGAGAATATAAGGGAAGGGAGAAGAAATGGGTAGGAAATATCAGAAAGGGAGACAGAACATGAAGACTCCTAACTCTGGGAAACAAACTAGGGGTGGTGGAAGGGGAGGAGGGTGGGAGGTGGGGGTGACTGGGTGATGGGCACTGAGGGGGGCACTTGACGGGATGAGCACTGGGTGTTATTCTGTATGTTGGCAAAATGAACACCAATAAAAAATAAATTTATTATTAAAAAAAGAAGAATATAACGAGTAACCACATTTGAAAAATAAACACAAATAAAATAAAAATAAATACAGGAAAATGATTTCTTCCATTATTTCATATATATGTTTATATGAATTAGGAATCCTCAATCCCTTTATTTTGTAGGTCTCTACAGCACAGTGAGAAATCACTGAGATTGGAAATGGTTGGCACATGTGAATCTTACTGCTGGAGAAGCCACCTGGTATCTAGTCTGTGTGGGTCCCTGGACTGGAGAACAGTAGGTAGGGTTCTATAGGGGGGTGTGACCTTGGTCTCTACTGTACAACCTTGGTCTTGATGAAGCTGATTCACAGGCATCAGCCCCAGTGAATCTACCTACAATCTGCCCTTCCTGGCTGAGATTTCTTACCCAGTTGGCATCCAAACGCCTACACCCCTACACACTTTCCTTTCATTGGATAGAAGCTCTCTTGGGATCCCTGGGTGGTGCAGCGGTTTGGCACCTGCCTTTGGCCCAGGGCGCGATCCTGGAGACCCGAGATCAAATCCCATGTCGGGCTCCCGGTGCATGGAGCCTGCTTCTCCCTCTGCCTGTGTCTCTGCCTCTCTCTCTCTCTCTGTGACAATCATAAATAAATAAATAAATAAATAAATAAATAAATAAATAAATAAAATTAGAAGCTCTCTTAGTTCCATTTCTTAGTTACTTTGATTGAAAAGACATGTGAGATTCAGAAAAATATATCTAAAGGTGAGAACCTGTGTTACATAAAGGAAATAAAACGTAAGGGGAACAAATTAATTAGGTAAGATTAAAGAAGAAAATGGAAATAAGAATGGATCTTATTTTTTTAATTCTCTTAACAACCTAAAAACTTTTGGGGCATCTGGATGGCTCAGTGATTGAGTGTCTGCCTTTGGCTCAGGTCATGATTCAGGGATTCTGGGATCGAGTCCCTGTGGGGAACCTGCTTCTCCCTCTGCCTATGTCTCTGCCTCTCTTTCTCTCTCTCTCTGGGTCTCTCATGAATAAATAAATAAAATCTATAAAAAAATACAGAAAACAAAAGTTTTTAATAGCCATATGTAATTGCTTCGGTATCAAATGTTTGATCCTTAAAGTATGCAGAAACACATTTGAGCCAGATGTACTATATCAAAACCTTTCTTCCTGAGACCTCCAGGAATCTCAGGGTCAGAAGCTAAAGTTAATTCCACATGATCAAGTCAAACTACTTCAAATCAACTCAACAAATATTTACTTAAACTGGCCATGCTCTATCACATCCCTGCCATACTTATATGGCCACAGTTGAATCGATTGCTTCAACTTGCTCAGCCTCTGCTTCCTGACAACTTATGAAGTGAAAATTGCTGAGTGGTCCTCCAATGGCGGTCCATGGACTCCAGAGGTTCTTGAAGTCAAAACGATTTTCATAATAATGAGAAGCCATTAATTGCCTTTCTTGCTGTGTTGATCTCTGCTTGGATAGCAAAAGCACTGGCAGGTACAATCCTGGCGCCAGGATGTACGAGTAGTCACTGTGTTCTTGACTGCCACACTCTTCCCACAAAAACAAAAATGCCAGTTTCCCTTAAGAATGTCCTTAATGAGGCAGTGAGACTTAACTAGTTTTCCTAAATCTCAACCCCCAAGTATGTATATTTTTAATATTCTGTATATGAAACGAGAAGTACACACAAAGCAGTCCTGTAGCATGTTTGACTTGCTAGCTGAATTAGCTGCTTTTTTCCCCCATGGAATACCATTTTTACTTGAAAGAATAGCTAACAAACTATAATTATTCAGGCTTGGGTATGTGGCAGCTATTCTAAAAAATAATAATAATAATAACTAAAATGAGCTAACCAATTCAAGGAAAACGATTGACAGTGTTTATTGCCAGTGACCAAATTCGAACTTTCAAGTGAAAGTTAAAATTTTGGAAAATTGGTATCCTCCATTGTAAGCTTGGCAGTATGCCAAAACTCAGACTTTTCTGATGAGTTGGGTCGCAATATTGCAGAGTATGTGTATTCTTTACATTGCCTAAGGAAATGTGCCAACACTGGGGAGATGGTATAATGGGGTGAGCTAATATTTTCCAAATGACCAATGTGTGATATAAACTCATGTGTAGGTAGAAGATCCATCGAAAGTGCAAGATAAGCCAATATCACATTGTAAGGGAGTAACAAAATTTCATGAATATGGTTTTAGATTCCACATTCCAGGCAACTTTTAAGAAGCTACCGCTTGTTTACTTTTAGAGTAGTTGTAAAGAATTGCCATAATTATCTGCAAAGGCTATGAGAATATCCTTTTTCCAACTAACATATCCGTATGAGTCCAAATTTTCTCTATAAACGTTAATTAAAACAACATATCACAACAGATTTAATGGAGAAGCATTTATGAGGATCCAGCTGTGTTTTATTAAGTCAGACATTAAAGAGCTTTGCAAAGATATAAAACAGTGCCATTGTTAGTAATTTTCTTTAAATATTGCTTTTCAAAAATTGTTATTTATATGAACATGTAATGGGATTCTGTTATTTCTATGTGCATTAATAAACAGATATTTTAAATATTCTAGGTGTTCATTTCTAATATGGTAAATATCGATAGCTATAACTCACATTAACGAAAGCTCTTTAGGCTTCTTGGAGAAGCCTTTAAAGATTTTTAGATTCAAAAGGATCCTAAGGCCAAAAGATTTGCGAACTGCTAAGCTAGTTGATCTGGAAGGTTTATTCCACTTGGAAAACTTCTTTACACTCCTGTGTTCAGAGTTCCAGGACAAAAAACGAAAAAGTTAGATTTGTTCTACCTTTTCACTCTAAGATACAACCTAATCATTTATAATAAAAAATCGAGTTTTACCTAGATTTCTTCTGCTGCTTCACATAGTAAGCTCAAATGCACTAAAAGACATGATAAAAATAAAATTTGCATTTTTAAAGTACAATATGGTCTGCAAAGCAATTTAACATCTGCTGTTCTATTTCTCTTAGTAATCCCTAGAAGCAGCTTGGACTCTCTGAATGCAAATTAAAAGAAAGCAAAGCATCTCCTGTCCTGTGTGCACAAACAGCAAGATGTGCAGATATTGAAGAATGCAAAAATGAATATTTGTTAATCCCTGTTATTTTATGTGAAATGAATGAAATGTGATGTCTTTGTACTGACATGGAGCTCGTAATAAAAATATGACTTAATATTTGGTTTTGAACATCTCAAAAACTTTGATCCTTACTTTTCATGACATAACAAATTGCATGATACAGAAAATTACTTCATATCCTCAATCTTTTCACTAAGGCTATTATTTGTATGATATCCCAAATCCTTGGTGGTGTTCAGGACAAGGGTCCCAGGTTCTGGATGGCCATGGATTAATCTTGGGATTCAGTGACCTCATCAGACAACTACTAACCCCCACCCTGCCAGCTCGCAGGACTGACGCAAACGCCAAGGAGCTATATCTCCTAGCTATAGAAGGGCACTGTAAATAAATTCTGATTTGCAGTTCCTACGTGGCGTGGGATTACTGCCAGGATGATTACTTTTTTGAGGCCTTATATGGATTTTGTTTTTAAATGTTAAGTGCCCTACAAAGAGAGAGGCTATACACGCTTAAACTCATTCTGTCTGTACCCAGTCTTGGTAATGATGGGGATGGTATGGTTTAATTTTTAAAATTCCAGTGTGTATGTGAAAAACACACCCTAACATTTTTTTTAGTCTCCGTCCTAAAGACTCCTGTTGGAAACACATTCTCAGGAGAAGGAATTTGAAAATCTTGTCAAGAAAACTGGAATGCCCATTAAGAAGGTATGACACAGTGAACACTGTATTCTTATTTTACTTACTTTTCTGAGGGTTGTAACAACGCCCCATCCTTGGTCCATGTATACGTGGCCTGACTGGGGGTAACGAGCTCACACAGTATATTGATGACCTCCGTCCTTTTTGTAATGTAGACTGTATCTCCAATCCTTGAATTTATTGTTTTATTAAATGACATAGAGGTGGGCTGGCTTTGTCTCATGAGAACAGGTCCCTTCAGCTTGAATGTCAGCTTGCCTGAGTTTTCCACATTCGAGCTTTGAGGCATACTTCTCGTTTCACCCCTTAGATGAGCAGCAGGAGGCACCCCTTCCTGGACACCCCTCCATTGGCTGTGTGCTGGGGGCACCTTGGCTAACTCTGCCACCAGCTGGTAGATCACCTGGGATGCAAGGTCATCACTGACCTCCCTGGTTTCCATGAGCTGACTCATGTTTCTTATCAGTTCATCAAACTGGGCCGTGTCCATGCTGTATGCTCCCTGCTTGACTGCTGCCTCAAACTGCTTGTTCTTAAACTTCCAGGAGTTGGTATTTCCCCCAATATTGTTACAGGCGCCCAAGAGAGCTCTCAAGAAAGGCTGGTTATCAATTTGGCCATCATCCGGATGAAGCTCATTTTTGTTACCCCATATTTGCCTCATTTTCTGCCATGTGGCTCCCAAGCCATTGGTCTCACTGTGGTCCATCCCAGGATATTCCCTCGTGTGCTCTCTGAGGGCTGGAGGCGCAATGAGCCGGTTGTCAGTGCCAATAAGCTTGAGAACCACAGTTTCCTGTGCAGGGCCGGCGATGCACCGGTATGTGCCGATATCAGGGGCTGCAAGGCTGTGGATTTTTAGTGAGCCTGACTTGGTGATGCCAAGCCGTTTGGAGTTCTGCAGACAACGGCCATCCTTCTCCCACTGGATCAGAGATTTCTGGAATCGTCGTACTGGACATTTAATAATCACAGATGTGTTGGGCAGCAAATAGGCTCTGCTACCAATGGTCAGGTTAATGCGCTTCTCTTCCCTCGTCTGAATGTAGACTCTTTGGACATCAAGGATCTGGGGCCCCTGCTCACTGGCTTTTGTCTTCTTCTCTGGTTTCACTTCTGCAAAGAGAAGAAAGAAAGAAAATACAAACAAGTATCTCAATAATAAGAGCTTTCTGACAGAATCTTCCAAGGTTGATGCAAGTCAACAAATGTATCTTTTTTCCTCCCTTAAAACAGCTGACAGTGAAAACATAAATAACGTATATATCTACAGATGCAGATAAATTTCACAACTATCTGGTACTTTAGCAGCAAAGAATGGAAATTTGAATGAATGACATAAAATGTGTAAATTATTTTGCAAAGCCCTGGTTTGGGGAGATGTGAGGTTAAATGTTTATATGAGTAGGAGGTGTCCGATGTTTTGGGCTTCCACCATCTGGTAGGGGTCCTGGGGGTGGTTAATATGGCTCAGCCAGAGGCATATCAGCTCTAGGGGAGAAAGCAGGAGTGGGGAAATGAGCGAATGCATTTGAAGGATCTGGAGGTGAGGCCAACGTGGCCAGTGGCAGCAGATAATCAGAGCAAGTCCACTAAACCTGGGCCTGAAGAAGCAAGTGATCCAAGAAGAAAAGAGAAAATAGGTACCTTGAAGCCAAACAAATCTAAGTTTGGATCTTAGCTCTGCCACCCAGACTAATAACTGAGCTCTCTGAACCTCAGATTCCCTGCCTAGGAAGTGCGGGTAATGTTAGTGCCTTCATCAGGTGAGTATGAAAATTTGGTTGGACATTTACACCAAATGCTCGGTGCAACAGTGGGCACACAATGTGCTTTCACACACGTGACAGCTGGCGGAGAGCGGTCTGAGAGGAAGTGAGAGGTGGGGCTGGCTCTAGCTTCCTCCTGGGCGTGGCCCCCAGTTCATGGCCTCCGGCCAAAGACGATGCACCTTAGATCTCTCCTTCAGAAGAGGAACCTACAGGAAGGCCTCGATATGTCCCAGGGTGATTCTGAAGTGAGGGAGGCATGATGTGGGTAGAATCCCAGTTTCTCTTTGATAACACACTTAGGTCCACAGGGACACAGAGGACCTCATAGCACCAGGTATGACAGAAGAGAGACTGGACTCCTTTCGAGGGAACTGCTAGATTCAGAAGGTCATGGGATTGGGGGCCTCATTATTTTGGAGGATCCTGGTTACAGGTCCTCCTGGTTGAAGCACTTGCAGGGATACACCAGGAGAAGAATCAGACTGAGTCTCCACTTAGGTGGAGGAATTTATAAGGGTGCCACTTAGGTGGCCCTCTCGGCCCGAGGCCATAGCAACAGCATGCTTACTGATACCCTGGTTCTCCAGAATACCTCCTGGAGCCCTCCTGGGTGGCTCATGAGCTTCATAGGGTCTAGCTGCTTGCTGGGGTGTGGTGGCATCAGTACATTCTGGAAAACACCAGGGGTGAACCCATAATTTCCATGGTAGAGGATGTTCTTGGTGAAGGACACACATAATGAGTTTGCATTCAAATCCCGCACAGATGCGATTGGTCGGCCAGGACTATTGGCCCGGGCTCTGCCCGTGGATGCTCCTGAGCTCATCTCTAAGTGGAGCTGGATGACCTGCCACACATACATGCTGTTGGATACAATCTCCACGGGGCATGTCAAGCTCACCGCCCCCCACCCCCAGTTGATACATAAACATTTTCTTCCAGTTGGCAGCATAGTATTTTGAATATACTGCTGTATGTTCGAAAGCAGGAAGAAAATGTATGGATTCACTGGCAAATGAATAGTTTATCCATTATTATAGGCAGAGATGCTATCCGAAATAGTTAACAACGTGCACAACAAGGGTGCCACCAACCAGAACAGATGCTGGCTGTTGCCCTGGAGTGGGGTCCTGTTGTCATACCATACTCCCAAGTATTCCTTCCTTCATTGCTATGTTATGAGGAGGTCAGGCTCACCAGGGTCCCAAAAGCTGGGAGATAGTCACGGTATTCAGGCAGAGGCTATTTAGCAACCATTTGGGAAGTATGCTCAATTTTTTTTTTTTTTGAGAGAGAGAGAGAGAGAATCTTAAGCAGGCTCCATGCCCAGGGCAGAGCCCAACAAGGCTCTGAGATCATGACCTGAGCTGAAATCAAGAGTCATATGCTTAACCAACTGAGCCACCCCAGGTGCCCCAAGTATGTTCATATTTTAAATTTTTTTTAATTTGTTTAATTTTTATTTATTTATGATAGTCACAGAGAGAGAGAGAGAGAGGCAGAGACACAGGCAGAGGGAGAAGCAGGCTCCATGCACCGGGAGCCCGATGTGGGATTCGATCCCGGGTCTCCAGGATCACGCCCTGGGCCAAAGGCAGGCGCCAAACCGCTGCGCCACCCAGAGATCCCTGTTCATATTTTAACAACCAGTATGTGGGGGTTCAATATCAAGTAAAGCAGCAACTCTCAAACTTCACTGCCTGTTAGAAGCACCTGTATTATTATTTGTTAATCTCAATGCCCTGGGTCCCCTTCCCCAGATATTCTGACTTACGGAGTGCAGCCTGGCACTAGAAATTTTTTAAGCTCTCCAGGGGCCTGAAATGTGTAGCAAAGTTTGAGAACCTCTACCTCCAAGCGTACCACTGTATTAAACCAAGGCAGCACAGAGAGAGGCTCCTGACTTTGATTATTTTACTGAAAGACAATGTGTGCTAGGATGTCGCCAGTCAAGAGAGGAGAATAAGAAGCAGCATCTGTGCTCTCTGTGTGAACCCTGCCAAAGTCTTTACCGCATGTGGTGTCTTCTGGAAGAAGCCTGCAGGAGGATTTCTTTCTGGCCTTGGCCTCAGGAATCATCATACTTTATTCTGAATAATTAGTCTGTTTCCTATCCAACGAGTGCTGAACTGTGTCACTAACCAGGCTGCTTTTTCAAGGTTGCTATTTTGTTGGCAAGTTTAGAGCCAAATCTGTGCCCCTATGTAAGAGGAGTATACAATTCAAGACATGATCACGTACTAGCCTTGTTTGTTTTCCTTTCTCATTCCTTATCTACTTCTAATTTTACTTGCCTGGTTGCATCTTATAAATACTTACAAGTGGCCTATTGTTGTCACAAGGCAGGGTATGTGTGCATGTACACACATGCACACATGTGAACATGGTATCTACACAGATGTGTATATATCTACCCACACAGATCTCTCATGATGATTTAAAAGGACCTATTTGAACACCCTGTCTGGTCATTGGTCCCTTAGGGGCCAACAAAGGAAAGATATGAATGTGCAATGGATAGCCTCAAAATCACAATACAAACTGGGTCAAACTCAGGTTTTTAAATTTGTGCAACTGAGGCATGTGGGGATGTAGGCTATTTTAGGGTAGCCATGCTGTTAAGAATGAGGCCATAGCTGGAATGTTTCTGCACTTACTGGGACACAGATGCCCATGCAGGAAATGGAGCACACCTGTCTGGCTGAATAGTTCAGGCTGGGGATGATCTGAGGTCCATATAAGCCCACACAGCATCCTGATGCCCTAGAAGCAACCATGAATGTGGTTTCTAATTACTGTTAGGTCCACTGGTAGCCAGATGTTCCTCAGTTAAGACTGAGGCTTAAACTAGATGGGGCTCTGACTCCTTCCAAGGCAGCCTGGGGAGTCTAAAGGTGACGGGCAGTGTTCAGTCTTGGCGACAAAGCTGCCCAAGTGGCTGGGTGAGCTGCGTGAGAGCCATCTGCTCCCTCTGGCTGCCTGCCCATTTGTTGGAAGGTCAGCCCTGTGACCCTGGCTGGCTGCATTCCCAATCCTGCAAGTGCTCCTGCTGAGTACAGGGAAGGTTAGTTAGCAGGTGTGCCTGAGGAGTGGTCTGGGATTCAGGCTCTATCTGCCAGGCTGCCAGGTACCACAGGTTGGATCAATTCCTCTCTTGGGACTCCTGTGGGTTCCTTTGGAGAAGTGCCTGGAGCCTGACATCATTAGACACGGTTCTTAGGCAAGAACTAGTCTGGTTTCAGGTGACTGCCTCCTCCTGAACCTAGACATGCCCCCAAACTACAACACTGGCTTAGCCTGATCAGGTGCGGCATCATCTACCCTGCAGAGAGTGGTCAGGTACCTATGGCATCCTCCTGAAGGGGCTGTGGGCCTGTGCAAGGGTCCCGACCCATCCTCCACCTCTCTCACTGTGCTGGATTTGAGAAATGTCACATCTCTGGCTTTTCTAGAAAATGAAAAGATCTTTCTTCTAGAGGTCTTCCTTCTAGGCCTCTGGGCCAGCCTGCCCTACCCAATAGAAGCCAGCCAGCTCTGGGAACCTGAGGCTGTTTACAGCAACTGCATCTCGGCTCCTTACTTGTTCATGTCCTGTCTTAACTCCAGTCATATCCCTGCCATAACTCTAGACCTTGGTGCCATGCCAGGTCTCTGCCCCAAGCCATCTGGGCTGGATATTTCCATTTGGTCTTGCCAGCATATGCCTCCTGCCACACCCGAATGGGCTTCAGCGGCGAGGCAGCCTCTAAGACCTCCTAGAGCCCTGCTGGAATCCCAGGCCCCTCAGAATCCACCCCTGAGTGTGGCTGCTGGGCTGAGGCTGGCTCCCATCCCGCCCACAAGCACTGAAGATTCAGCAAGCTCATTTGGAGCTCAATCAAGAACTTGAGCATATTGGATTCTTTCCAGCCTTCTCTGAGGGTAGAAGCCCGGGTAGCTGAAAGGGGGCTGCAGGGGGTGCTGTGGGTAGGACATGCTAAATGAGCTGTGAAGGCCCCAGAGGCCCCACAGAAGACGGCTACTGTAAATGCCACATCAGCCTGAGACGATGGCTTCCGTTTCTTGCTTCCCAGGCACTTTCCAACCAAACGCCATCTGGCTTCTGCTCACAGTTCCCCACTAAATGCTCTTTGGGAAAGGCCACCCATGGTCTGCCCCCTAGTGACAGATACAAAGTCTCCCTTCTGTGTTCTTATGTGGCCATTCTAGGACATATGGCAACCTCAATCCCTCACTTCTGGAAGAAGACTCTCCTCTCACGTGAGGACCCTCACCTGGTCCTTTCCAACCACCACTCATTTACAGTGCATTACGTGCTGTTGCTACCCCTCTGGCATCGCACTT